TTGGGCCCCATTTGGCCATTATCACTTAGGGGTGTACTCACTTTTGTTGCCAGCACTTTAGACATTAATGGCTGTGTGTTGCGTTATTTTGAGGGGACAGCACATTTACACTGTTATACAAGCTGTAGACTCACTACTTTACATTGTAGCCAAGTGTCATTTCGTCAGTGTTGTCACATGAAAAGATATACTTAAATATTTACAAAATGTGAGGGGGTGTACTCACTTCTGTGGTATACTGTATATAAAGAAGTTAAAACTAGGCAAATGCATTTCCTGAAGAAAATGTGTCTGGATGCCGATTGCTGAAGAATCACCCTGAAAGTGTTGAAATGGCTGAAATCCATTGCTGAAGGCTGAGATTCGATGCTGATGAAAAGAAAATGTTGAACAAATATGGAAGATGAAAAAATGTTGAATCATTATAAAAGATGAAAAGAAAATATTGAATAATTATGAAAGATGGAAAGAAAAGCTGAAGTTGGGACTCAGCATCTACACAATTAATATAAGCTGATTTTATTTAGAATAAACCTAAAACTTTGCCCCCAAAATTTATTTTCATAATGTGCTGAAGCCTCTACACACCAGTAGTCCCACTGCTGAGATCTTCTCAGGACTGTTTTATCCAACAAAACAGGCCTATTCAGTTTTACTGTCATGACAAAAACCATCAAGGCAAACACCACTAGCCAAGATAGAAACAGCTAATGTTGCAACTGCAAATCCATTTTTAATGAAAGTGAACGACTGAAACAAATAACTGACTAGAGTCCAACAGAGTGGTGAACGGCAACCTGTTTGTGGTCAGACAATGTGGGCACTGTCTCCTCCCAGCAGCCCACAGCTTTAGATTATGAACCAGAAACTCAGCAGAGAGGACATCTGAATCACGCTGAGCTTGCAATTCATTCCCTGGTCTAGACCGTGTCTGGGCTCTTTGGGGCAGTATGCAGTCAGTGGTACAGGCTGTTCACTTTGTGTTCAAAAGCAGAGACATCCTGTGGCTTAATATGAACGAAACGTCTGGTTTCTGGAAATACTATTATCAGCTGCCTGTATATTCAACTAAAAGGGGTGCCCCGCTCCTTGTCATTGCATGACAAGCAACATACCTGAACAGGTGACAGTTGGGCCCCATTTGGCCATTATCACTTAGGGGTGTACTCACTTTTGTTGCCAGCAGTTTAGACATTAATGGCTGTGTGTTGCGTTATTTTGAGGGGACAGCACATTTACACTGTTATACAAGCTGTAGACTCACTACTTTACATTGTAGCCAAGTGTCATTTCGTCAGTGTTGTCACATGAAAAGATATACTTAAATATTTACAAAATGTGAGGGGGTGTACTCACTTCTGTGGTATACTGTATATAAAGAAGTTAAAACTAGGCAAATGCATTTCCTGAAGAAAATGTGTCTGGATGCCGATTGCTGAAGAATCACCCTGAAAGTGTTGAAATGGCTGAAATCCATTGCTGAAGGCTGAGATTCGATGCTGATGAAAAGAAAATGTTGAACAAATATGGAAGATGAAAAAATGTTGAATCATTATAAAAGATGAAAAGAAAATATTGAATAATTATGAAAGATGGAAAGAAAAGCTGAAGTTGGGACTCAGCATCTACACAATTAATATAAGCTGATTTTATTTAGAATAAACCTAAAACTTTGCCCCCAAAATTTATTTTCATACTGTGCTGAAGCCTCTACACACCAGTAGTCCCACTGCTGAGATCTTCTCAGGACTGTTTTATCCAACAAAACAGGCCTATTCAGTTTTACTGTCATGACAAAAACCATCAAGGCAAACACCACTAGCCAAGATAGAAACAGCTAATGTTGCAACTGCAAATCCATTTTTAATGAAAGTGAACGACTGAAACAAATAACTGACTAGAGTCCAACAGAGTGGTGAACGGCAACCTGTTTGTGGTCAGACAATGTGGGCACTGTCTCCTCCCAGCAGCCCACAGCTTTAGATTATGAACCAGAAACTCAGCAGAGAGGACATCTGAATCACGCTGAGCTTGCAATTCATTCCCTGGTCTAGACCGTGTCTGGGCTCTTTGGGGCAGTATGCAGTCAGTGGTACAGGCTGTTCACTTTGTGTTCAAAAGCAGAGACATCCTGTGGCTTAATATGAACGAAACGTCTGGTTTCTGGAAATACTATTATCAGCTGCCTGTATATTCAACTAAAAGGGGTGCCCCGCTCCTTGTCATTGCATGACAAGCAACATACCTGAACAGGTGACAGGAAGTGGATGTGGGTTCCCCAGACCAATCATCAACAAGGGCTGCGCGCAGTGGGCGTGGCTACAAGTGGTTTAAATTTTGAGAGCAACAGTTATGGTAGTTTGCTTGGAAAACAGCTGTTTGCTGCGTCAGTCGCTATAGTCTCGGTGTTCATTCAAGTATGTTTGGTGTCAGGACGTTGCCAAACACATCCGAGTTGTGCTTGCAGGAAAACAGAGCTTAAAGTGTTCGGTAAGTCCCGGAACGTTTCTTTAAGAAAAACTGTTTGTTTTTACATTGATGGAAGAAGTGTATCTCTGTTTGTTAATGAGTTTGTGTCCTGCTACATGACATGTGGCTTATATAGATTTGGAACCATTTGGGTCAAACTAATTTTATTTATTTTTCTCTTTTCAGGTAGATCTACGAACTGTAAGTTTAATTATTTTTACCTTATTGTGGGTTCCCTTGTCAGAACCTCCGCCCGCCCACGCTGGTTTATTCATTAAGGGGGTCTTGTTGTGGTCATTTTGCCACAAGTCCTGAGTTTACTGTGACATCTAGAGTGTTTAGTTCAGGGGTTTTTTCCTCGGCCCTCCATGCCCAACTCTCTTTGCAACTCTTTTCCAACATGGCTTCTTTCCCATGATTGTTTAGATTTTTGTGTGTGGTCTGATCAAAAGTGGCCATCTGTAAGTAGATTTGTGTAATAGACATAGTTCTAGGCTGCCAGGCACATAAAACTCCTAGGATCTTTATCCTGGGAGTCTTATCTGCGGCGCCAGTCTATTCATATCTCTGGCTCCCGCGCCGTCCGTTCGTCCCATTTGAAGATTTCCACAAGCTGATCTACGAAAGGTACTTGGTTTTCTTTACTTATCTAACCTGCTTG